ATATATATATATATATATATATATATATATATATATATATATATATATATATATATATATATATATATATATATATATATATATATAAAATATTTTCATGCAATATATATTATAATCATTTTTATTTAATTAAGTCTTTAGATTATAATAGTTTTAATCCATTTTATAATGGATTTTCATATTTTAAGATTGAACTTCTGCTTGGGGACAAGTGTAAAACAATAAGATCAATACATAATACATACAATTTAATTTGTATTATTTGTATTTGTTATTTATTTAAATTTTAGTTAAATTATGTCTGAATTTATTATGTCTGTATAGGTATTTTATTAAGTTTTTAGTTTTATTTAATTTGAGTTATTTTAATACTTCAACAAACTAAATGGAAATGAAATAATATATATATTGAATTTATAAATGTGTATGTACATACAGTATATATATGTGTGTATGGTTGTACATACACATATGTAGTTCTTTTTTTGGTGTTTGGCTTAGTGTTATGTTAGAATCATTATTATACTCTTTTACCTTTTGTTCTTTAATATTTTGAATTGTTTTTAGCTTTAGTTTTTGTTTTTCATTTAAATGTTAAGTTTTGAAATTTTGTTGTATGCATTTGTCATTTTTATTTAATCTCTTTATTTTTTTTAATGTGTATAGGTAGTATTTATAAAGTTTTAGCTTTTAGTTTTGGATCTGTTTTTAGTTGTTTTAATACTACAATTGATTGCTTCTGTTGTCCTCATTTGTAAGTCGCTTTGGATAAAAGCGTCTGATAAATGACTAAATAAATAAATAAATAAACATAAAGAGCATTTGAAAAACAGCCAAATAAATTTTAGAAGCATTGGAAAAGTTGCTTCTAGCGTTCTAGCGTCAAGAGGATTAGGCTAATCATCCCATATAAAAAACATCACAAGTAAAATTAATCATGTTTATAAAGATAAACAGATAAACATTATAGCCCACTTACAATTTACATTTCAGAGATCATTACAAATAAAT